TATACTGGAGCTCTCTGTCCTTTGTTCCAATTCCATTTACTATACTGGGAACAGACTTTCAATTACTGTATCTGAATTACTGCAAAAGTTCTTGCTACTTAGCTCTTCAGTTCCCTCCCCACCCTGAATTCATTATTAATGACACTGCCACACTTCCAAAACACAGTATCAGTTTTATCATGTTAGGTCCCCACTTAAGAACCTATAATGCCTCCCTTTTGTTAGGCAAATCAAGCTCTCAATTAAGAAACTTCTGCTGCAAATAGGCCAAATACCTTTTGTAGTGTCAGGTGTACAATTTCCTTCCCTATTCGTTCCTTCAGCAGACACAATGGATTGAAGTCAATCTCATTTCTCTCATTTTCTACTGCCCACATGTGTTGAATACAGTTTTTATGGTATTTTGGATTGGCACAGAACTACTACATGTTGGTCAAGAAACATAACCTTCCTATGCCTTAGCTGCCTTATCTGTGAAATGCTTTCATGGGCTTTCAATGAGGACTGGTTAAAACCCTTTATCAGCTATTTTATTATTCTGTAACTGTTTCATCTATTATGTTCTGTCTCCCAATAAGACCAAGGATGAGGACTTCCTTACAGTTTCTCCTAAATCCAACCAAGACACAACTGTGTTAAATATGAATGGCACACATCCCTATGGCTCTGCTTTTGATTAAGTAAAGACAGTGGGGCTGATTTTAAATAACTTAAAATTTTGACACACAACATTAGGCACTTTATTTCATGTTCTACTGTATAAGCATTCTTTTCTCTTTCCAATGTGTTTACTTAACACTCAGCAAGTTTACTTGCTCCTTTAGGATATGTGTTATCTTTGTCCAGTTAGTTATTTCAATACTGCCCACTGGAAGCAAGAAAATGATGTAAAAAAACGATAACTTATTGATACTAAGTCATTTGACAATTTAACTCATTTTAACTTGAGTCCACAATTCAGTACTTAGCTCATGTTACGTCTGTAATGTTAAAATAATGTTTAACATAACAAAATAGCTTATTAGCTATGAACATCTCATTCATTCAAATTTTATTTAAAAATCACTAATAATAAATATACTTCATATAAATTTCAGAAATTAGTAATTTTCTATGCTAACTTCTTAAATAATTAAGTGATGACATTTCAAAAAGTTCTTATGAACACAGAAAAATAACAGTGTGTTTGGAAATCCATTTGTGTAACTTGGTAAAAAGTACAGGATGGACAAGATTTTAATGAAAATACAAAAACCTTATTACAAAGAAACTAAGTTTCAACATGGCCCCTAAACAGCTCTGTGATTTCTATTAGAAAAGAGTACTCAATTTAAACAAAAATAAACAAATGACCCCCATTTACACAGGATTTTCATTCTTAAGTACAAAGCTTGTCCATATTCTCAATGCCAGAGTTCTCTTATATTTAAATGTTATTTAGTAAAAGTACTTCAATTAGAAAAAATATATTAAAAGCCCTAATAGTATATTATTTAAATGTGATTAGAGAAAACATTTTTCCTCAGTGGCATAAAAAAATTTTTAAGATTTTTTTTCCTGAATACTTATTTTTAGTAGAGTAACAACACACATAAATCTATGTCCCAAAGTTTCTAAAGTGTTCATATAACGATTGCATATTTGTGTACTAATGTAAGGGGACTTATTTCATATACAAAACTATCATAAAATGTGATCTTTCCAACAGTAAAAACAGTTAAAGGATTTTGTATATAATTCTAATTTGTTGGGAGTTATATTTAAGAACACAGTTCCTGAATATTTTATATTCATGCATATAGGGAAAAAATGATTACAAAGTATTAGTATTTCTTTCTCCACAAACAAGCAAACAAACTACAAGTGGCTACCTGGTAAAATTCAGAGCAAAGACAACAGCATCTGCCTGGCTGACTTAGAAATTAAATTTACTTAAATGTCTACCTTAAGCTGTCTAAAGTATAGGAAACATCTTCACATGTTTGATATAGGACAAACGTTTAATTTGATTCTTCACCAAAATAAAGACATAGTATTTTCTAAGCAGAAGAAAAAAACTATTAATGGAATATTAAAAAATTTTTAAATATGTCAAATAATTAAGAATGTACTATACACACAAAATAATTGTTTAACAGTAAGACTGTTACTAATAATGTTCTGTGCAACAGACACAATTTCATTCTTGCATCTGTGAAGTATTTGTTACTGGGCATCCACATTTTCACTGACCTTGAAGAAAGTAGACATTAATGATATAAACCTAAAATAATTTATATTTTCCTTCAAAAAATACCTGACATATTATTCACTTTATACACCCCATACACACAAAAAGGGAAATAATCCAAACGTCTGACAACAGGTATACATCATATATATGTGTATATGAATACCATACAGTGTTTTTTAAATTGCTAACAATAAATCTTCAAAATAATGCTGAGTGAAAAATGAAAGCTGCAGAATACACATAGGAGTACGAGACCAATTTTGTAAAGTTTGAAACACACAAAACACTACATATTTATGGATACATACATAGGCAGAAAAGGTATAAAAGCATGTACAGAAATAATACACATCAACTTCAGAATAGTGGTTACCTATAGGGAGGATGGAGAATGGACAGAATGAGATAGTGGATTTTAACTCTACAATGTTCAACATTACAAAAAGATCTGAAACAAATATGGTATAATGTTAACATTATTAAATTTGGTGGTGTTACAGACATTCATTGTAATATTCTCTGTACTTTTAAATTTTTAAATCTTTCATGATAAAAATAAAAACATTCACAGAATAAAAGAAAACGTTCAATCACTGCTGCCATTTCCAGATTAAATAATTAGGCATGCTAAAACACAACACAGGTCTTCTTTTCCCAAGTAAGGCAATAAATACTCACGTAATTACATAACCAGGCAATACACACTCATAAAGTAACCAATAATACATAAAAACACACAATTAAAGAAAAGAATTTAAATGCTTCTAGTTCAAAAACTCGATTGTTGCTTGAGTCAAAGGATCTAATTTCACACCACAAACAAGCTTTCCTTGCTTTAAAGAGTACCCCTTTGAATTTTCCTTCATGCCATTTCATTTAAATGTGATGAGAATAAAAGGCTTTGTGTACATGGTATGGAAGATACCTGGGTTAACAGTAGTTATGTAAGACTAATGAATACACTGTATTCTAATATTAACTAACGGTGGCTCAATTCAAAAATAATAAATTAGTGCCAGTACAAAAACTCACTTTCGAGTCTGAAACTTTTAATCTGCAAGGGAAAAACATATGGTCTGTAACTTTATTTACCAAACATATTTTTTCTTGTCTGGCAAGCTTTCCCATCTTTGTCAGATTAATACTTCCTTGATCACTGAAGTCTTTCAAATTAAAGATAAACAACTACTTGCCTGTTGTTTCTGATATGCAGTGTTTGGATTTATCTTTGATTCCAAGAGTAGTGATCCTGAAAGATAAAAAAATGATACTTGTTTTATTTTATACAAAGCCTAAGTAAAACAACAGCAAACACACTAAAAACAAACAAACCTGCACTCCCCACCCCCAATCCCTTAAATTCTCTTCCTCCAGTTAGACATCTGACAACATCTCATGTAATCTAATTCACATTTTTCTCTTCACATCCGGGCTTCGTATTTAATTTAGAACGTATCATCCTACCCCCAAACACCCTTAAAGGAAAAAAATCCATTTAAGACCAACATTCAGACCAAGAATATAGAGACCTGATGTCTATTCAAGTTTTATTGAAGTGAAAATTTTAAGGTCTAAATGACCACTTGAAGCCAAACTTTTTAAAACAAAATTATTTTATTGCATTTCCAGTTTAACAAATAAAACAAATTACAAGGACCACAACAGGGATCTGAGTACTTTAATAAACAAGTTACAGAACTGCATTTATCCTTTTCTCTGTAAAAACAAAAGAACGCCTCCCTGTAGAAATAAATGTTCATGACCATTTAAAATAAAAGGAAAAGTGCACCAGTACAGAATACGTCAAGAATAAATCTAAGATTGTTACTTTTCTATTATCTGCACATACCAGTTGCTCAAATCAAGGCGTTCAGATTACAGTGAGAAAGGTCTAATTACGGCTCTACGTTTTATAATTCAAAAATACTTCACATATGACTCGTACAATAAATCCGCGAATACAAGTTTACAATCGGCTCTGGTGTCCTAACTTGTTTAGGTGTAAAGTATCCTCTTTTTTACCGCACTCTCTACAAAGGCAGCCTGGAGGGATCCCAGACTAAAGATGTATGTGCTTGGGCATGCGTGCATTGTGGCAACAATCTGCAGTAACCACAGGAAAAGGTGTCTTTTGGTTTCCCCATCACCTGTCGATTTTGCCTCTTTGGTGAAATCGAAAAATTTTATACCTCTTTGGTATAAAAAAAGAAAAGACACTCGGAAGTAAAGTTGCACTAAACCTTCTGTACCAGATATAATGGTATAAGGGCTAAGAAAATTAAAAAATAAAAGGCGGGCCTCCCCAGGACAAGGAGGTCACACTAACTTGTCTCTCACTACATCCTGCCTTCTCTAACACTCTTTTCCTCTTTAAAGAGGCGACACTGGAGAGGAAGGGGTCAAGTCCTTAGTAGGGAGAGGAGGCGGGGGAACAGAGAATGGGCGTCTGACTGCGGGTAAATTCGGGCGAAGTAATTTGTTTTTACCGTACAGAAGTGCAGGCACAAAACCAATGCGCTGTCCCAGGAGGTGGTAGTAACAGTACTCTGCCCAGGGCCTAAACTCCAGGGCTGGGCCCGAACCGGAGGCACTGTTCCCTGCCCTACCGTTCCAATAGCCTTACCGTCGGACTCTGCCCGAACCAGCAGCGACATCCCCTTGAGCTCCTCCACATAAGTGGAGGACACATGCCCGGTGCCTCTGTCGTCCCATTGCCGGTCTTCATTCAGGGTATAGACCTTCACTCGCCGCCGCGTATCCGACATGGTGGCTGCTGGCCGCACCGCTCCAGCCGCCGCCTCCTCGCTCACCTCGTCCGCGCCCCTCACTCTAGAGAGACGGTGGAGGCGGAGGCGGCGGTGGCGGCGGCAGCTCCGGAGAGGCCCGAGTTTACCATGGCTCTCAAGGTACTGCCGCAAGGGGCCACAAGAGCCACTGAGACCTCTCCGCCCGGAGCTCCAGTTATCTTTCACTTCACCCCCGCACACACCCACTCTCCCCTCCCTTTGCCCGGAGAGCTCGCTCGCTCTACCGCCGCCGCCGCCGCGGTAACTACTGCAGGTCCGCCATCTTGTAACCCGATTCTCTCTGCCTTTCTCTTCCTCCTCCAGCTGGCTCGCACGGGCTGTACTCGCAGGGGCTACGGCGGCCGACGAGTCCAGCGCACGCCGACTCCGCTTTGTGTACACGCCTCCCGGGCAGGCAGCGCTCGGCGTTCTCGCGAGGCGGTGAGAGGACCTAAGTGCTACTTCTTCCTCTCTCTGCCCCGCCTCTTGGCACGGGATCTCGGCCTAGTGTGCGGTCCCCGGTGGTGCCGCGAGATTCTTCTCTGGGCAGGTGGCGAGAGTTCAGTAGTGCATCCGGTTTCGTGCAGTTGGTGGGGGCTTTCGAGAGTGACGAGCCGCCGGGCCTTACTCTGAGGAAAAAGTAAAGCAAGCCTGGGAGGTACGCATGCTTGGACGGGGCTAACTGAGCAAAAAGGAAAGAACTGTGCTCACACTCTCTAATGGAAGCTAACCCTGTCAGCCTGTGGGAGAAAACTACTTTAAATCTATTTCTGTAAAGATGTAGAAACTTTGAGCCCTTAAAGGCGACCCCAAACCCATTAAAACTTGTTATGGAGTCTGTTACAGTTAAACATCTCAGAAAGTGTTTTGTGGATCTCCAAACGATTATAACGTCGTACAACAAGTGTGTCAAGATTTCCGATTTCCCGCCAAAGCATTTCCGCGTTAGGCTTTTGGTAGCTGGCCATTGAAAAGCATACTTTCAGCTTCATCAAAATACAGTGCCTTTCGCGTGTTTGTAAACCCGGAATATAAGTGAAGATAAATTTTGGGAAATGGCGGGGAGCTACCGTCCTAAAACATCCAAGAGCATTGTTTCGGTATTTTTGAGTTACTCTTGAGGGTCCATCTTGTGTATCTATCAGGAGGTCTGTACTAAATAAGCGAAGGGGGAATTCTCTTGGCATTCACGCCACGTTAATGTCAAACGCCAAGTTAATGTTCAAACATTGCGCGTGGTTCCAAGTCATACCCTGGCAGTCGTTTATTTCAATCCTTGTTCATGTTTGATAGAATCCTTTTATTCGTTCTTTTAAGACGGCCTCAGCTTTTCAGCTGCTCCTTCACAGTCCTTTAGCCTGAAAGGTGGAAAACCAGGGAGATGCACACGTTGACCTTTTAGCATCTTGGGAGTTGGAGTCATTACTTATCGATGGTCCTGTCAAATCGTGCTTAAGTTTTGACCAGATCTAATGTGTGGACACACTTCAGTGGTACACTAAACCATGAGAGGTCTTACATACAGGCACCTGATAAAAATTAATTTTGCTTTCAAAATTAGGTTACATAGGATTTTTTTTTTTAATCTAAAGAGGACCTCAGAAAATGTACTTGAATTAAGTAGTTATAGGTTAACAGTAGAACCCACTAATTGCTGTGATTGATGTGGACAAAATGCATTTTGAACTCAGAAAAGTTAACATTTCTGTCATGGGTCAGAGAAAGCTTCACAGAGATCATTTTTGAGCCTGATGTTAGAAGATTCCTGCATGGGAATTTGGCTTGTAGAAGTGTTAAGAGGCTAAGGGGACAGGGTAAACGAAGACAATGTGTTATTGGCCTAAAGGAACATATATAAGGTATATATAAGTTAAAGGAATGAGAACTCATAGCAGTTACATTGTTTGTAACACTGTATGGGTTCAGAGGTTAATATTCTACAAATAGATCTAACGACAAACTGAAATAATAGTTGTTTCCTGTATTCAATCATTCAACAAGATTTTTTGAGCATATATACTATGCACAAGACACTGTTCTATATAGAGAATAATAAAAGAAAAGCTTCTCTTCTGATGGAGCTTACATTCTACTGTAGAAAGACAGTAGACAGATATATGCCAGGCATTGATAAATATTATGACCAAAAAAATAGAGTAGCAAAAGGTTAGAGAGTGAGTTTGGGAAAGGTAGTGTTTATTGAAAAGGCCTTTGAAGGAGGCAGTCAGCCATGCATTTTCCCAGGGGAGGAGAGAGCCAGGAAGCAGCTACAGCAAGTACTAAGGCCTTGAGGTGGGAGCATGCTGAGGGCATGAGAATAGTAAGAAAACCAGTGTAATTGGAGTGGAGTGAGAAGGGAAGATGGTGGGAAATAAGGTTTGGAGTGTGAGGGAGGCTGTTTAAAGGACCTTGGATTTTACTTCAAAAGAGTCACAAATCCATGAGAGAGTTTTGAACTAAGTGAATTTATCTGACTAATGTTTCAAAGCACCCCTCCTATCTTCTCTTCAGGATCTCTGTTACTGTAGCCCCTAAGATCTGGTGACCCAGATAAATAAGGAATCAGGGTTAAACCCTTAGAACTCATCTCTACCCCTGGATCCTCAGGAACACATTCTTGTTTTATTCTTCCTCTTAAGTCACAGGGTTTCTCTTCTTTCTACTGCAACAGGCACATCTCTAACATTTGTAGGCATGGACATTTGCAAGGTCCAGGAAAAGCATACAAATGGAAGACCATATGCCAGAAGTCTAAATATTTAAAGGTTTTAAATTAAAATGTTAAATAAAATATACTTTCTTCTCAAGGACTTAAAAGAAATATATTGTTAATATCTATAGAGTAAACTGGGTTCTCAGTCTCACTGATTCATGTTCTTAAAATGTAAGGCTTTCTGTTTTTATCCTTACCAATTCTATTAGATGTGTTTATGAAAGAACTTTTATGGAAATTTTTTGCTATATTCACTTATTTTTTTATTAAGGTGATTAATCTTTAAGGCTTCCCTGTTTAAGTAAACCACCAAAACACAATCTATATCCTCTTCAGCTACATTCCTATTTATTTTCGCATTTAAAGCCAAACTATTCAAGAGTTGAAGTGTTTATGTTCCCTTCATTTCCTCACCGTCCACTCACTCCTCACTTGAACCCATTCTGGTTTCCATCACCCCCAGCCCTCATCAAAAACTCTTGATAAACTCACTAAAGACATCTATGGTGATAATTTTGGTGGATATTTTCCAATCCATTTTACTTGCTCCAAGTTAAAATTGACACTTTTTTGTCTTTCTTCCCTCCAGTCATGACCCTTGCTCTATCCTTCAGATGTTGCCACAATGATCACTTCCTCAGAGAAGCCTTCCCTGACTAGTTCAAATATGCTTGGACTATTACAGGTACCAAAAAATCCAATTCAAATTGGTTTAAATGATAAAGAGAATTTATTGGCTTATATGAATGGAAAGTCTGGAGATAAGGTGAACCTCAGGGTTGATTTGATTGATTGACTCAGTGGTATCAGAGAGAATATGAATGGAAAATCTGGAGATAAGGTGAACCTCTGGGTTGATTTGATTGAATGACTCAGTAGAGCAGAGAGAACTTGATTTTCCTTTCTGCTGTTAAGTTTATCCTAAGACTAACTTCTTTTGTATTTTAAAATAGTGGCCCAAGCTCCCAAGGCTACATAGTTCTACATCTACATAAAAAGAGAGTTTCTTCACATACCCCCAGTTTCATTGTGATTATTCTAATTTAGGTCACATGCCCACCCCAGGACCTAGACTTATGTGGTCTAGGGAATGTCAAGTACAAGTTGGCTGAGGTGAATCAGGGCCCATCCTTGGAGCTGGGGGTAGGTTAATCCCATCCAAATCCCATGCATGTTATTCTGTGTAATGGGGGTAAAGTAGATGCTAGGAGGACAACCAGGTATCTGTTATATATGTTCCTTTTAGGCACTCATAGCACCATGCACCCCTCCATTGTAACATGTCTTACTTGCAGCTTTATATTCATTTGTATGATTTTTGATTAATAACTGTCTCCACATCTAGATGGAAAATTTCTGTGAGTCCAGGGAACTATGTTTTTTCTCTCCATTTACTCTCTAGTGCCTAGCATAGGGTGTGGAACATAGGCAAGTAGCTCAGTAACTACTGGAAGGTTGAAATTTCCTCTAGACATTCACTATTCGATTTGACATTCCACCTAGCAGGTAATTTAATAACTACCCTATCAGCTCAACTGAGATTAAATCTTTGAAAACTCTAGACTGGTTATCTCTAATGTCTCTCTCCAAGTAATCAGTTTTTGTCATATCAATGATATTTGTGAAACAAATTTGATCATATTATATTCTTTTAACATCTTGCAGTAGTTTCTGATTTTTTATAGGATTAAGCTCCTTAGGTTGAATCACAAACGTCTTCATGCTTTGGCATCTACCAAACCCTGGTGTTCTTCTTTTAAGAGTAAGGCTATATAGAATGCTGACCTTCCCTGGGGTGATTTTCAATCATATCTTCTCCCCCTCCCCTTACTGAATATTTTTAGAAGTGTTTTCTCTGGGGGAGTGTAGTTCCTCCAAGTATTTATTCCCCCATATCCCACCTGAGTGAAGAGAGGATGGAGGCCAGAGATCCAACTGTTTGGTATTCAGGCTTTCACTTAAGACCCACCTTAAAGCCTTCTTCACAGTTTCCCACTATCTACTGTGACAAGTGTCCCCAAGTCAAAATTATCTCCTTTTTTCAGAAAAGAAATCTGTCTCGTGACATTGCTGTGGTAGTGTTACAAGGGTGTGTATGGGTATGTGTGTGTATGTGGAAAGGCATGCTAGTCCTTTGGTTATGGGAAGTGGACCCAAGTATGTAGCCACTCTCTATGTACTTTTACTGTGCCCTCAAATTCTCAGCCACTTCCTTTTTGATTTTTTTGTGGAGTTAATAAGTTTTTTCTTCTCTGATAACCTTTATGGTCATTTAGTATGTAATTTCCTCTGCTAAGTCTATTACTGTTCTTCCATCTGCCTGTCATGCAATTGACTGACATTGTTAAAATCTTATCTGCCATTGTCTCTCTTATTGAGAGACAGCCCTTTAAAGTCTATACTTTTAAAAAATTTAACTTTGTGGTTAGTTTTCCAAGTTTAACCAAAGTATTCTAACATGCTTACATATATATAAAACATGCTTATAATAATACATATATATATATATATATTAATGTTCTCTAATCCATTTGGAATTTTTTGTATATATGAAGTAGGATCCCAGTTTAAAAGTTTTCCTCCAAATGGAGAGCCAATTGTCAATATTATTCTAGATGAAATAATTAGAAATAACCATGTTCTGTACTAAATTCACAGACCAACCTACATATACATATATTTGGATTTGAGTCTGAACTCAGTACTCTATTGTTTTATCTGGTCAACTCAGTATTATAGTTTTAAGTGCTATAGTTTTATAGTTAGATATTTCGTTGGTCTGGTGGCCATATAACTGCTCTGCTCAGATCTTTTTCAAGGGAGTCTGTTCTAGGGGAACATAGTTACTTGACAGTCAGCTGCCACCCCTCTGGACCCACCATTGTGTTTTATGTTTAAGCCACAAATACCTCAAGCTGTACCCAGTTACTGAGCACAGCAGCTATATTTAAGCGTGTTCTCTCCTACCTGATGCAGAACTCTTCTAATGGGCAATTTTAGCTTGGGGAACTTTGTCAGCCAGGATGAGACTTTCTTGGAACTACACTGCTCTTTCCACCTGGTATTTTCCTCCTTCCTTTTACAGAGGTCAGACTCACATTATGCATTGTCGGCTCTCTAGTAATACTTGAACCCATCTATTTTATCCTCAGCAGATAATTCCCCTACGCAATACCTTGCATGTCTAATCCGTTCTTGACATTTGCTTCTCTGAGGACCAGAAATGACATAGGTGATACGAGGAGTTTAGGTACCAGAAATGAGGCAGTATGATGGACTTTGGGGAGTTGTTTACTCAGTTACTCAGGCACAAGGTACCAAGTGACTACTGATTTCACCAGTAGGGATGTAGGAAAACATCCCAGAAGAGGGGATTGCTGTTGGCTACACAATGATTCAGGCATTTGAAAGATGTGGAGGAAACAATGCCTGCAAGGACAGTAGAGCTGGCTGATGAAGTACTTCTTACAGTGAAGGAACAGACATGGGATTTGACAGTTGCAGATCCCTATAAGTATACTTGAATGCTCAGTTTAGGGAGGTGTGCTTTGTAATTAGGATTCTAGCTGAGAAAACCTGATGCTTTGAAAGAATGGGATGGGTGTTACTGAGGATTTTGGCTCTGTGAACACCCTTGGGCCCTCAGGGTTTAAGGGAGTGGCTCATACTTCCTAGTAAGAGGTAACACTTCCTCCCTTGCAGAAAGACCTCTTCCAGTTTGTTCAGTTTCTTCTCCTAGCTGAGATGTTTGGTAACTAGGGCTAAATCTCAGCATAATTTGCCTGAGGACTGCTGGGCCTGGTAGGTGTAAGATAAATTCCAGCCAAAATAAGCAGGCGATGAGAGGCAACAAAGGGCCAGGCAGTTTATTTGAGGCAGGTCGATTTCACCCATTTGCCTAGGCATAAAAAGCTCTGGTTGATACCTTTTCAGGGTGGATCGAGGCCTTCCCCAGCTACCGAGAGACTGCATCAGTGGTGGCGCAGGTGCTAGTGGAACACATCGTTCCTCGTTTCAGGCTCCCCACTTCACTCCAATCCCATAACGGACCTACCTTCATCTCCTGGGTCACTCAGCTAACAGCCGAGGCTCTCAATATCACCTGGAACTTCCATATACCCTATCACCCCCAATGGTTGGGTAAGGTCGAAAGGGCTAACGGTCTCCTAAAGGACCAACTAACTAAGCTGTCTCTAGAGGTAAAGCTCTCGTGGCCTGATCTCCCTATCACTCTTGCTCGGCTGCGTGCTGCCCCCCGGGGACCGGCTGGACTAAGCGCATTTGAGCTAATGTATGGCAGGCCCTTCTTACTGAACACAGGCCTGCCCACTACCTCTCCTCCTTTGGCCTCCTACCTTCCTTACTTTACACTGTTGAGACATCTTCTCAGAGAACACGCAGACCAGCTCCTACCCCAACCTAAGTCATCCAACAACCCAGGACACACAGCGATCCTTCAGCCAGGGGATGAGGTACTTCTAAGAGAACTCCAGCCAAAATCCCTCCAACCCTGTTGGACAGGGCCTTATACAGTAATCCTCTCTACGCCCTCAGCAGTCAAACTACATGGGCATTCTTCCTGGTGTCACCTTTCTAGGCTCAAACGGGCGCCCAGACACGATGATTGGGTGTCTCGTGAAGTGGGTCCTCTTAAGCTGCAGGTTAGTCATGTCAAGTGCAACCAGCCAGATGAATAGCCCGGTGGTCTCCAGGCAGAGTTACTCTGCATGGAAGTTTAAGCTCCAACTAACTCTTCCTCACGGAACCAAAGCCCGAGAAGTAGGCACCCAAAGTTGCCCACGTGTAGGTTGTCAGGCACCGATTCAAATACCAGTAGGCACAGACATCTTAAACACTTTCTCAAACCCTATACTGTGCTTTCCTATGACCAAATCTCTCATACATGTATTTTCCAGTCCGACATGTATGGGGGATGTCATCCTGAATTAAACGCATGTAGAGTTCATGCAGTAGAAGATACAGCAAGAGGAGTCTCTGACAACATGTTCTTCAGAATACAAGATAAGCTATACATTACCATTAGTGACCCATGGGATCAACATTGGGAGAGAGGAGTACAGGGCAAGCTATACAATAGTTACCAAGCCTCCCCACAGGGCACAGTATACATCAAGAGAGAATGGACCACTGTAAATCCCACTCTCATGGAAGTTCTAAACACCCAAGTACAGGTATCAAGTAATATTCTACAAACAGAACAGGCACTAAAACAGAGGATTCAGTCGGACCCCTACCTCCGCTCTCTATGACCAGCAGGAGCACCACTTTCCTGGGCCGGAGTCATTGGAGAAACAGTACGGTTTCTTAATGCTTCACATATCCTCAGCAATGTGTCCAATTGTTTTCTCTGCGCCTCCTTCCAACGCCCCCCAGTGGCTGTGGTTCCCGTTAGTTTCTTCCAGACTCAACCAGTAAACTCCTCTGAAAAGGACTGTGGCCTCCTTTTGAGCAAGATACCCATGTGGAAAACGAGTCTTAAGCCCAAAGCTCGACATAGGTCTGAGGCCACCAGAAAACGGCACAAAGAATCATTGTCCTCACTGATCTGCTACCTGACCCAGCGTTCCACCATCTCGGAATTGTCAATGAAAAGCCAATGCCGACGATGGGTGACTGTAGACACTCTACTTTCCCTTCAAGGGGGCGGGTTTTTCTGGTGTAACA